ACTGGCCAAGACTGTGGCAGATCTAAGATTAAGCCTTAGCTGGCCTCCACAGTGGTAAGTCCGAAGCCCGCAGCTCCTTAAATAGTGGATCTGTGCTTACTTATCTTTATGATGCTCCTCCTGTGACTGGGCCGTGTGTAATTTCCCACTCAATGACTCTTCTGTGCTGATTTCTGCGAATCCCTCTGGTGTGTGATACTCAGTCACCGTGTTGCTGGAAGTCTCCCAGATATTAGTCTTATTGCTTCTCCTTTGTAAGTAACTTTTCGTTTTTCTCCACCTACTTTCAGAATTCTTAGTCTTAAATTTTGGAAAGTTTGATTATGATATGTCTTGGTGATTTTCTTTTGAGGTCTATCCTGCTTAGGGTTCATTGGCTTTTGGAATACATATCTGATTTTCTGTTAAGACATTAGGGAAACATTTAACAATTTTCTCTGTCTCCTTTTTAAAAAAATGTCTCTTCCTGTTCTGGAATTCTGGTTACATATACGTTATTGCTCTTGAAAGTGTCTCACATAATTTATTTTAAGAGTTTATTGGAACTTCATCCACATATCACACAATTCAATAGTTCAACCATATTGAGCAATGTCATACCATCTTTACCACAGTCAATTTTAGAACATTTTATTTTTCCTCATACTCATTGTTATTCATGCAATTTTTTTCAATTTGGCAAAAATATACACAACAAAATATTCACCAATTCAACTCACATAATTCTTTGGCTTCTTTTTCGTGTGTGAGTTGTTCTTTTCTTTTCTGATTATTTCTCTAATGGTATATTCGTATATTTGCTAACAATCTTGCTGTTTCTGTCTTCCATTAATTCATTTTTCCACCTTTGCATTTTCAGCGTATTCACAGATTTTGTATGGTTTCTTCTTTTTCATCTATTGTCAATATGTTCTTGTGACATTTTTCTAAATTCTACTATAGAAGTGTCTCTATTTTCTGAGTTTGTATATTTTAAAAAAACTTTCTCTCAACGAATTGAAACTAACAATAGATCATTAAAAATATTTATCAGATAATCTCAGTGCTATTTCTTCTTTAGGATGGTTTTGTAGCTATGCATTTTTGTCACTTTCTGGAGCCATTGTCTTGTTTCTTCATGTGACCTGGGATTGTCTGTTGTCTATGAGACATTGTAGTGGTGTTTTAGCTGTATTTGCTTGGTGATTGTATATAGGTGTGTTTTGTCTAGTTTTCTTTATTTTATTTTGATTTAGTTTAATGAGAAGAATGTGTATGTTACTCTGCTCACCATTGAGTAAGGAAGACTGAAGAAGAATCAGTGTGTTTGAATTGTGGTGCTGAAGAAGAATATTGACAGTAACACAGACTACTGAAAGAACAAAGGAATCTGTCTTGGAGAGTGTAGGACTAGAATGCTGCTTAGAGGCAAAGATGGTGAGACTCTTGGTTACATATTTTGGACAGATTGCCAGAAGACATTAGTTCCTGGAAATGTCAGCATGCTTGGTATTAGAGGACCAATGAAAAAGATGAAGGGTCTTAACAAGATGGATTGTCACCGTGGTTGTCAGGTAGTATTCAGTCATTGGACAAGATAGTGCTGGACTGGGCAGTGTTGTTTCATTATGTTGTGCATAGCATCCCTGTGTGTTGCAACTGACTCGTTGTCACTTAACACAACAATATATGGCAAGCAGAATGAAGTTTACCTACAATGGCATACTTGTTACTCACCTGCTCTGAACCCCAAATCATTTTCTATTTCCTTTACAATAAACCCCAAAGGAAGCCCTTTCCTTGGTCTTCACAAGTCTGCATTGTCTCCTTGCTTTTCTTTAGGGATCGAACATGTTGGGCTTTGTACTTTTGGACCTAAACATTCTTTTGCCAAATAGTTTACATGTCTAGATTCTTTCATTTGTTAAATGAACTGATTAACTCGATTTTTAAATATATTGTTTTCAAGCTAAAAACTAAAACCCATACATTTATAGTGACATTTTTACCCTTTTTGCTCATCTTCTCACAAGACATATTTGTAACTCAGTGATTTTCATAATGACAAAAGTTGTCTATTGGTATATACTTCACAAACAAAAGAATTTAATCATGCAATTATTTAAGAACCTTTGTGTACTCAACTTCAGAACATTTTCATCTTGTACTCATTGTTAGCTCACCTTTCCCTCCCATCCTCTCCTGCCATGCCCCTAGGCAGTTATCAAACCCGTCTCTACAGATCGATCTATATTTGATGTCATATACAGAAAATCAGATAAGACACAAACAGGAAACAAACAAAAATCCAGCAATAACTAAACAAAACAGAAATCAGAAAATATTAAAAACTGAAGCAAGTCTAAAATGGGTCAAAAGGGAGATCAGAAGATAAGGTATTACATTTTAACCTAGCAACTTTTGCCACAATCAACTTTACAGTGTGCTTTGTGTGATAGCAAGGCTGTTCACATCCCTTGACTAGGTCAAATGGGATTCACCAGAGACTTGATTTTTGAGGGGACCCTACAAATGGATTTTGGACTTCATTTTCATAACTATTTTTTTATTACAGAGGTCTTGCATATTTGTCTAAAAGAGAGAATATGAAGATGAGTATTAGAATCTCTACAAATAGTTTCTGTCTCTGGGGATGCCACCATTAGGGGCCACCTTCTACCATGATCAAACTGAGACCTGGATTGAGCTTGGCACATACACACACATCCTGGAAAGTGGAGTGGGAGTGCGAGAACCCATACAAGCCACTAAGCAGCAGTAGTAAGTAATCCTTGTGCTGACTCACTGCTAAACTGGTTTAAGCACTCCCTGATTACGACCACCTAATGAGGTATGGAACCACCAGGGGGTTGGCAGGAAAGTTGAGGCTTTCTTCTCCTGTAAAGAGTTACAGTCTCAGAAACCCACAGGGACAGTTCTATCCTGTCCCAAATGGTAGCCGTGAGTCAGAATTGAGTCGATGGCAGAGAGTTTGTGAACGAATGAGGTATGAATGGTGATCTGGCGATGCCATGGTTAAGTGCCTGCCTGCTGAAGGACAGGTCTCCAGCTGGAACCTATCAGCGGCACTGCCAGAACAAAAACTTGGTGATCAACTTCCATAAAGATTCCAAAACACTGAACTCACTGCCGCCAAGTGACCTTGACTTGTCGCAACTCTATAGGACAGGGTGGAACTACCCCATGTGGGTTCTGAGAGTAACTTTTTACAGGAGTAGAAGGTCTTGTCTGTCTTCCCCAACGCAACTGGTGGTTTCAAACTGCTGACCTTGCAGTTAGCAGCCCAACACATAACCACCAAACCAGCAGGGCTTGTACATCATAGGAAGCCCTAAGGGTTGCTGTGAGTTGGAATCGACTTGATGGCACATACCACTGCTACCACAATGTAGGTGCAGAGAACACTAAGGCAGAGGGCAATTCAGTTTACACAGTTGGTAGATAGTGGAGCTGGATTGCAAGTCAGTCAGCCTGGCCCAGGATTGCCATGTATTTAACTCTCAGAAGGAACAAAGATGAGAATTCAGGCTTTGAGATGGACTTGGGTAAAGCCCACATGAATGGAAATGAGATTTGGAGGGAGCCCATTTATTGAGAAGGGAGCTCTTGTGGCGTAGTGGTTATGTGCAATCCTCAGAATCAGAAGTTCAAAACTAACAGTAGCTCCACAGGAGAAAGACTGGGCTATCTACTCCCATGAACAGTTTACAGTCCCAGAAACCCCCCAAGGGGTCACTATGAGTCAGCAATGACTTGATGCCAGTTTTTGAGTTTTTTTCATTTACTGAGAAAAGGCACAGATGGAGAAGCAGCGCCCCCTGCAGCTAATGTGGAGAATACTCAACAGCATACTTTTGTTTGCTTGGAAAAGCCTCTTAAATCTACAGGGACAGTCAGCGCACCCTCTCCTCTCCACATTTATGAAACCCAGGCATGTGTAAGGAGCACACATTGAAGTCTACAGTCTGAATGAAAGTATCTGTATATGAGCATCCCAGATGACTCTAAGTAAATGCTGCTCAGAACTCATAGGGAATCCCTGAAAATATCAAAGCTTTTAAGCCTTAAGAAATAAAATTCTAATGGTGGTATCAGTTTCTAGCCTGACAGCATGGGAGTTATGTGGGCACAGGGGTACCTACATAGTCCTCAGGCAGGGTCTCAGTACAACTGCTGAGCCAGTTTCTATGCATGTGTAGGCAGCATTGTAATTCCACATAATACTGATTTGACTTACAAATCTCATATTACCCATAAAAGTCTCTTATGAGACCTTTCCTTATTATCTGGTCACATAATTTCATAATTCACTTATTAGCTGTTCGTTGGGTCTTGGAGAACTATTCCTAATGCCTGGTTTCACAGAATGAACACCTTCTTTTAGTTCTTTGTGATGATCTCTATGAGAGGTTCAAAATTAGAGTGGAAAAGACATTGACTAGGAAGAAAAAGCTTAGGGTTTTAATTTTATTTATAGTCTCTAATTGCTGGACCACTTTATGATCACCACTAAACCTTTCTGAGCTCCATTTTTTTTTTTTTTACTTGCAAGATGGATATAAACTATCTTCTGTTTTCTAAAACACTTTGCTGAAGAAGAGATATGCATGTGAATGGGAATGCAGGGTGTTTTGGGTTTTTTTTTTATACAGAAAGGGAAAGCTAATTCCCTTTTAAGCTTTGGTTTCACTTCAGGTATCTGATTCCCAGAAATAAGCATGATATTCTATTTTGCTCCAAGAGTTTTACTCACCAAAGGTTTGGTATACATGAAACTTAATTAATATTTTATACTTGAAACTTCATTAAATGTGTTTTCAGTTTCAATTTGCCATATGAAACCTTATTAAATGTGTTTGTGATCTCACTGGTTGGAAGCAAAGGAGCTCAGTTGTGCTCTGCAAAAGCAGATGATTTTTCTGTGTCTGAGTCTAGGATTTTCTAAGGAAACCCAAACTTGATTGAAGATCTTAGAAAAGAAAAGGCTCATCAGAACATTATGCAGTAGGGGTAGTGGGTTTATTATAGCTATATACAAGTAGCAGTTATTGATATTTTGTCAAAACAAAGGACAAGGTAACAAAACTCACATAAGCATAAGCTGCAATAGTCCAATACTGATCTTAACATCTCTAAAAATAACATAGACCCCCGAAGTGGCAGCCTACCGGTCATCTAGTTAGGCAGACAATCAAGTTATGCTGCAAGCAAGACAAGACAATCAAACACAACCAACCAAGCAGCCTTTCAAAGGGATAGAGGAAGGCTTGCTAGAGCCTGGGGCCACGGAGGAGAAAGAATACTAAAATTTCATAAACCCTCCATATCTTTTTTCCACTTCAGGAACTTCTTTTGAGTAACTCTCACCTTCTTCATCAGAAGGCAGAGAATCTGCAAAACGCTTTAGGAAGCCCCCGTACCGCTTCTGGTAGTCCATCCACCACTCAGGACGGCCCACCCGTCTCATAAAGCCCCCATAGCGCTTCTGCAGCTCTTTGACTTCATCTGTCAGTGGAGGGCTTCTTTTCAGGCCTCTCATGAACCCTCCGTATCTCTTGCTCACTTCTTCATTGTTATCATTGGCATCGTGATGGGAGCCACCCTCTTGGCTATCCCCTGTTCCCAGCAGTTCTCGCAGCAGATTTGAGGAGTTGGCCAGTGTGTCGTCCTCGGCATCTTTCTTCATGAAGCCCCCATATCGCTTGGCAAGGGTTTCCCCTTCATTTGCCTCTTCCTCAGGTTCCACAGGATAAAGCTCATCCATTTTCTTCATGAAACCTCCATACCTTTTCATGAAGCCCCCATATTTCTTGGCTAGCAAATGACTCTCCTCCTGTTTGCCATTCGCTCGGACCATGTTGGTGTCATCTTGGGAAAGCTCCAGTTTGGACAGCTGCAGTAACTCCTTGCAAGCTTCCCAGGTCCTCAGAGAAGGCAGTTTTCCTTCACATTCCAGTGTGCAAGCCTGGAAAAAGCATTCAGTTTAAAGGTTAAAAAGAGCTTCTTTGATTTCATTCAACACTGTTTTTATAGACCACATTATGTTCATATTGATATGGAATCTCTCATATAAGGAAGTCATCCCTATAATCTTAACGTATTTTCTCATCACATTTAGCAGGCAATTGAAACTAAAACTGAAAGTGGCGACTAACTGAATCAGAATAGAAAGTTGTCTATGGATTTTAGCAGATTACATAAACTGTGCCATTTAAATATTTGAATATTTAGGGATAAACTTTTCCCTACCCAATGTTTTTCCTCTGTTCACAATCAAAATTTCACTGGAGAAATGTTCACTGCTTAATTCATTTAGCCTGGACTTTTTCTATTGAAAATGGAGATAATTCTTTTTACCCAATAGGGATCATTTCCTCTAAACTTCCCTTTATTTTTTCAGTCTATAGATAAAATCAATTTTAGTAACAAAAGGTTTGTTGTTTTCTTGTATTAATACATTACTTGGATCCGTACGCATATTCCTGTGAATGCTTTTAATCTTAAAACAAAACAATTTCAAAATGAGCATGCAAAGACAAGCTAAAATTTCAACTTAAATCCTATGAATTATTGGAACTAGGCTATATGGGTTTACTAAAAGTAGAGCTGTTTTGCTTTTTGCTTTTTGCTTGGTTTAAATAGATAACAGGTTTTATCATCTTGATAACTATGAGATGAGGTGTGATGTTAAGTAAATGCAAATGTTCAAATTATTCAAATTATTCAAATTCTTTCCTTAGCACTTGCCCACTGATATGCAGAAGTCCTTTTGAAGTGAAAATCATGTTTTCTGATAAAACAGAAATTACCAGCAAAACATTCTTTCTGTTTATTATATAATAATTAAGCTATTATATGAATTAGGTTATATATTTTAATGATCTTATTAAGATTCTCTTGTATTCAACAGCTCACTTAGGAATGATTTAAAATAGTACTGACATTACATAAACATTTATAAAATCTTTATGATATCTTCATAGCCCTCTGAAGCTGTTTATAAAATCTAAAGTGAGATTCTTAATTGATAGGGAAAACTTAGGCCTTTTCTTGGCATTTCAAAAGATATAGGCATTTTAAATTATATGTTATATACAAATAATTTTCAAGATAAGAGAAAATATTTTATTCTAGCATCAAAATAATTTAGGGTACACATTTAACCTGCTTTAAATGATTATTTGACCCTTATATTTAAAAAAATTAAATGAGTATGTTTTAAAAGTCTAAGTTCAATGTGATTAAAATAGCCATATTTTATTCTTGATAGTTCATGAGGATCGGAAAAATCATTAATATACTTAAGATACTCAACTGGCATTTTCATTCTGAAATAATATTTAAATGTTCTTTTTGCCAACAATAAATGTTGAATGCTTTCTATATATCTACCAAAACATTTTTTAATGTAGGTAATTTGGCATCCTTCGAAAACAAAATATGGCAAATAATTATAGTAGTACAATCATATTATAGAACTGATGCTAATTTAAATGCTTCTATTCCATGTGGGTTTCAGAATTTACTACCCTCTGTCATATGGTAAAATCATATTAGATGTTAAATTTTCTTTGTTAGATGGTAAATCCAATTTGGCAAACCTGCTTATCTTTGCATCCTTCACAGAACCAAACAAAAGTGTTTCACAATGTGAAAGGGCAGCAAGTACTTATTACATTAATTTTACTACTTTGGAGGGGGTGCTAGGCAATGCCATTTCCCATGTCTTTTGCAGCCTAACTAAAATTCTAGACCTACTGTTTTTCTAATAAGATAGTCATTAACAAAGTTTTTCTTGTGACAGAGAAAACACTCCAACACAAAACACATTAGTTAGTTGTATTCAAAATGCCTTCTTTAAAGACTATTTTAAAAATTAAACTATTATCTCTTTTTTTCCCCTTTCAGATTGATTATGCTACATAGTGCTATCCAGGATCTGGATACAAACAATAATAAACAGCTACAATAATAGCGTAAGAAACAATGAGAATTTTGGAAAGAATAACTTGCCCCTCAAGATCCTGAACAGGGTGGAGAGAAAGGAGAGAAATCACAATTTCTGGTGATATCGAGAGAAGGGGTATCTGCCACAAAAGTGGATATTGTTCAAGATAAGAGAATAAAATAAGTAGCATTTTGGGAGCCTAGTGAGGAGAACAGATCAAATAGGAGAAAAAAGATGATTTGAGCACAGCAATTGTTAAATGCCAGTTATATGAATCCACAGAATCACATAATTTAAGTAAATCTCATGTTTCTTTACGGTCACACTGTGTGCTAAGAAATAACAAATTCTACTAGAACGTAACTAATGTAACCACGCACTATACAAGTTGATGGCAGTAAAAGCTAGACCAGGAGGCTGTTCTCTGTGCAGTTTTCAGGCACAGCTTCGAGTGTGTGTGGCTAGGCTGAGGACTTGGAATTCAGAAAGTGGCCTTCCACGTACTATGTTTTGAATTTCTCTCTTTTACTGTGACCACTATGCTTTATCCACAAAAAGGCATCCTCATGGTTACCCTTATGACCCTTAGGTGGACCAAGGACCAGGCTGCGTTTGTTCTGTGGCACAGAGGGTCTTTTTGACGGCATCTAATAAGGGGGACTTGTTTCTTAGTTTAAATAAGATGCTGTACTATGCATCCGAGGGCCTCTGGTCGTGTAGTGAGTTACACATTTAGCTGTTAACCACAGGGTCCACCATTTGAACCTATTGGCTGCTCGCTACCCCTGTAAAGACGTAAAACCATGCAAACCCAACAGGGCAGCTCTACTCTGTCTTATAGGGTCACCGTGAGCCGGAATCAACTCAGATAGTAGTGAGTTTCTTTGTTCCGAGTGTACGTAGCATTCTCCTTATAACGACCATGAATGGAAATGAACCCATGTAATTAAAATGAAAGAAGCAAACCATTCAATCTAAAATATATGCCTTGAATTTAAAAATAAATGTTCGTACTGATTTTCTCTACGTTCATAAATTTGTTCAAAGACTAAGTAAGTCTACATGTTTGGATTTAAACGTTTTCCTCTATTGGCCTTCTATGCAATTCCAGGATTTCATCAGTGTAAAGGAATCATTTAGGGAGTTAGTTGAAATGATTACGGGGCCCTCAGTCTAGAGATCCTGCTTCAGCAGAGGATCAGGGGATAGAATACTCTAGAATAAGAGTTTTGTCATCAACTTTTGATCCTAATCCCTCTGATGGCATCTCTTTAACTGGCTGCTATTCCTTTCCTACGGCCTTTCAGTCGCTATTGCAAAAGTACACTTAAACCTGACAAGTTAAAATCTAGCATCACTTCCCTGTAAGATAATTGCTGATCTCCTTCTGTTCTGTCTCCTGGGCTCCCAACTTCGTCTCCCCTTACTCCACTCCTCTCCTCTTTGTTCCCATGCCTTGCTCAAAGGGAGCCCTCCTCTTTAGTGGGTTATGAATTGGGCCGCTAACGCAATTAGCACAAGCCCAAGGTCAACAGCTGGAACTGACCAGCTGCTCCTTGGGAGGAAGATGAAGAGTTGTGTTCTCGTAAAGATTTTCCGCCCTCGAAACACAAAGGGACACACATTCTACCCCTTCTTAAAGGGTAGAATCTACAGATGGTAATGAGTTTGGTGTTTTGATATCCTTGGTCTCTCCTTTTCATAGATAAGGGCAAGGGCTCCAGGGGCCTAATATTAAAGTCCTACTGAAGGGACCCGTAAAAACAAAACACCTTTATTGTCAGCGTCCCTTCCAACGGAAGGAGTATTAGGGCAGGCTGGGAAGGCGGCGAGATGAAAAGGGGGCGTCCAGCCGCTGGGTATTGTGAACTGGGATGACTGCGCATTTCCTGAGGCACCC